GGCTTTGGAATTCCTACTCCCTTGAGAGCTCTAAAGAGTCATGGCAACACAAAGAGACCTTCCTTCCTGGTGATTTATTTTACGCTGCTCCCACTGGCCTGTCAAGCACAGGGTAGGAAACTGGATTGGAGCAGAATTGCCTACTGGCTTGAGTACTGAAGGCCTGGAAAAGTAACTGATACTGTCTGAACGGCTGCCTCCAAAGACTGTCCAAGTCTAGCAGATTTTCACTGTTAAAGGCATTTCAACTCCAAACCCATGACCTTGTTTCCAACATAGCAAAAGAGAACATAAAACATGACCAAAGTCCTGGTCAAAAGGGTACTGTTCAGATTTATAACTTCAGCCTTCTAAGAAGAATGACATGATGCAATACTCAAAGAAAATATGTGAGTGTGCATATGCTGGCACATATGGAGGGAGGGGGTGTCTTCAACAGGATAAGGCTTCTTAATTTTCTAAAATAAAATAACCCCCATTTCACATTTATTTCATTCCAGAAAAGCGCAGGAACTAAGTGCATTGAAGCATTTAGAGCGCATTTTCATGTGAGAAACAATGACAAAAGGCTTTTTTCATACAATACTAAATTGAGGGGAATCTGAAATTGTTCTGTGGTTATTAGAAAAAGTTGCATTTGATTAGAAAAAACAACGGTTCTCAACCTGTGGGTCGCAACCCCTTCACAGGGGTCGCCTAAGATCATCGGAAAACACATATATAATTACATATTGTTTTTGTGATTAATCACTATGCTTTAATTATGTTAAATTTGTAACAATGAATTTGGGGGTCACCACAACATGAGGAGCTGTATTAAAGCGCCACGGCATTAGGAAGGTTGAGAACCACTGGAAAACGTATCTTATCTAAAATCTTAGTCAAATATTTGTACAGAGTGTGAATGAACTTTCAACTTTCTATATGTAAACAACTTTCTATACAATTTCTTCACACTGGACAAACTGTAAAAACAATTCATTAAGACTTTGATTAAGATGTAGTTCTAGTTTTTCAAGCAGCTTTGTTTTTTGTGCCAAGTATAAGATCAGAGAACCAAGCGACTTGCTCAAGGTCATCTGGTCAAGTCAGGTGGGATTAGAATTACTGGTTCCTGCTTTCCAAAAGCCAGCCATAAATCAAACTTTCCTTGGAACTAAGCAGGCCAAAAGGGAAAAACCATTCTCCATTTCCTTTCTTCAATAATCAAAGGACAAAAGAAAAATTAGCTTAAATGGTAGAACTGCAATTAATAAAATTTCATCACTGCATCAAGTATTACCTCTTACCATGCACAGGCAACTCTCTCAAAATTGGCAACATTTAACAATTTGCAAAGGTCAGTAACCTCTATATAACCTTCCCATATGATGGCATCATGAACTTATTAAAGTGTTTTTAAATCAGCACTTCATATATGCATCTATAAATAGTCCACGTATCTTCTAAAAAGCTTGGTCAGACTGGAATATGGAAGTACTCTGAGCCCTTAGGTCTTTTCTAAGGTAAAGGATCATAAACAAGTTCAAAGTTTTCTTCAGAACCCTGAAAGGAACAGGGAGATTTCAACAGTGCAGGTAAAATTAGTGATTAAATAAACAAGAATCACTCAGGCTGTGGGGCTGAGAGGACTAGAAAAAGGAGGCATTTTTATCACCCTATCACATTCCTCTTCCTTTTTCAAATCTACCATTTCCATCACACTTTCTGCCCCATCCTTTTCATTTCTACTTTTAAACTGCTAATTAAAAAAAAAATTACTTTTGAATTAACAACAAAAACATTATGTCCAATGAAGCCAAATTTTTAAAAATACTATTTGGATTCGGATGGGAATATTAAAGTAGCTAAGAGTACTTTGTATTTGTTTACAAATACATTACAGTCATATTTAGTAATTTTCCTCACATCCAATCTCCTCAGTCAAACAGTACCATCACCCCATTTCAGATGACCTCAGGTCCAGGAAAATTTCCCTTTAATCTGTAACTATGAGTCACTGATATTAAAAGCTGACATTAAATCTCAAAAGTACTAAGTTAATGGCTAGGTTGAAATCATGGCTGGGTTACATATCTGAACAACTTTAAAACTTTTATAACCAACAATGATTTCTCTCATCTCAAATTCAAGTCTACCTATTTCTGAATACAGTTATAAAACATTCTTGGAGTGATGGTTTCTCTTCAGCCCTTGAGCAAAATGTGGCCACAGGGTATATAAAGCAAATCAAAAGCGAGGACTGGAAAAAATTGAACCTGGAAGGAAATACAAGTCTGACACTTTCCATTCTGCCAGAAAACAATTGTCATTACTTGGAAATATATTAGGTTGAGCCATACCAAACTGCCATTATATACAACTGTATTTTCCCTGCAAAAAAACAGAAATTTCATATGGTTTGACCTAATGTTATTTTCTAAGCTCATTTTAATAATTATCTCAAATAAGGTCTTCATATCCCAAAGCACAAAAACCTTCTAGTGTTCTAGACTGCCTTAACCTTTTGAAAAGTTTTGCCACGCCACTGTCCAAACCTGGTCATTTGAAAAATTTAGCTCATTAACAGAAAAGCCAAGTAAAAACCACCAAACTGACTGAAAGTAACCATGTTTTCATGAAACCTAAAACCACCCCACATCCTCTTCCACTAACAGAATTTAAACCCTAAGCAGACCTGCCTTTCAGAAGACTTACATTTAAGGAGATACAATGAAAAAGTTAAGTGCTTGGCAGCCTTTTCAGTCATTAGTAATAAAGGAATCTAAGCATGGTAAAAGCCCATCACTTTTCACTGGGGTTCCACTGACCTAAAAATCTACCACTAAGGAATTTTAATTAAGTTGGTAAGTTCCATTTCTGTTGGAGAATTTGGCTTCTAATTCTTCTAATCAAAAGGGGGGTTGCAATCCCTGTGGGATACATTTTTCCATTTAGATATGGCTGATTTACACACCCACAGCAGAAATAACCTGTCACCTTCACAAAAGGGGTTATGTCTCCAAGACTGCCTCTAGGTCCAAATCCATCATTTCACACCCATTTTTATCAGAGTCTAATATCCAACATGCTAATGAACTACTCTCAATGAATTCTATTAATTACTCAACATGTTCCTGTTCTACCAAAATTCCTATCTACTGGATGCTTTTCCTAAGACACCTTAACAACTGTTAGGGCAATCTGATGTTGCCTGTTCTATCTTCCTAGACCTAGTGATAGTACAAACCATCAAGTGAAATATGCTTTTAAAAAAATCAGGAGAGAATCTCCTGCTCCACCTAGAAATGTCTCTATTTAGCTAGGTCAGTGTTGATAGGTCAACAGGCACTAGTCACTACAACAATCCTACAGGGCATTTCTCTGTAATTTATTAAACCATCAACCTTTTCCTAACATCCAAATAATCCAGACTTTTTCTAGCAGAATTTACTCTTCCTGCCCCACCCTCAACATCTCCTGATCATTTTTCACCCTAAACTGAAGTTTTCCTCTAGCGCCCCAAGGTGATGGCAAGTCAGGGCCAAACACATTCCTGAAACCTTCCACCTATTCCCTTCTTTCTAAAGTTTTTTTGTTGTTGTTAATGAAAACTATGCATCAGGTACAGTGATAAGTGTTTTAAAAGGAAATTTATCTACTCCCATCCTTCAAACCCTATGCGTTTAGGATCCAGTATCCCATTTTACAGAGGAGAAAAACTGAGGTTGAATAACTAACCCAAGGTCATACAGGCCAGGGACTCAGATCCAAGTCTGACCTCAAGGTCCTCTGACCTTAACCCTCTTGCTATAGTTGCTTCTAATCTCTGGTCACGTCCTGGAGGTCTGCTCTGTGGTCCTATAAAGTCTTGGGCAGGGTTCCGTTTCTCCAGTGGCTGTCTTGCCTTTAAAGGACATGCCTTTGTGAAGAATGAGTAACCGTCCCATCTCTTCTCCATTCTCCTCCTTCCCACCTGACACCACTTCCCCAAGGCCCTTATCACAGTCTCATTCTCTAGGGCCAAAGTAAATGTCCCCTCTGACCCCAGGGCAGGCACCAGAGAATCCTGAAGGGCCGCCTTCTACCATCAAGCCTAGGAGAGGGCAGAAGTGAAAGAAAAAAGAGAGGCGCCCACAGCATCTGAAGTCCTCGCTCGGGAGGAAACTGTGGCAGGGGCCCGGAGAAGGGTGTGAGGTTTTGAGCCGTGGTGGTGGGTAGTGAGGGGTGTTAGGGCGGAAGGGGTGGTGGTGGGGGGGGGAGTGACAAGTGTGCCCTTGGGGGTGGGCGGGGCGGGGGTGGGGCAAAGGCAGGGAGCCGGCCAGGACGCTCACGCGGTCAGCGGATTGAATGGGGAGTGGACGTCCCTACGGGAAGGGGGTGCCGCCGGGCGAGGAAAGGGATCGGGTCACCGGGGAGAGAACGCGTGCGTGGGGAGCAGGACTGGAGATGGATGCAGAGGGGAAAGTGGAGGGAAGAAGGGGCCGGGTGATGAGCAGGAAACGGTTTAGTCACGGGGAGGCGGGAGGGGGAGGATGGATGGCCACCAGGAAGGTGGGGCGCCTCCAGAACCGCGCACTAGACGAGGGGTCTCGCGGTTCCACGAGGACCCGCGGGCGGGCCGGGGAGGTCGGGGTGTCCGGAATGCCCGGACCGGGGGCTGGAGGGGACCCCGGGGCAGGAGGCGCGGGAGTTCTCGAGCCGAGAAGCGGGAAGGGAGGGTCCCGGGGCGGTGAGGGCGGGAAAGGGGGCGTCCCGGCCCGAAGGAGGGCGGCGTGAAGGCGCGTCGCGCTCGCACGGGGATGGGGTTCGGAGGGCAGCCGGCGGCGGGGTTGGGGAGGGAGTTTCGGGGCGCAGAGGGCGGGAACGTCCTGGCGTCCCCCGAGGGTCAGGCCGGGGTCCCCGTAGCTTTCTGTTTTCCAGCGCCGGGGATCCAGCGAGGACCGGGGTTCCCCTAGGACGAGGCGGGGGTTCCCGGGGTCCCCTCGAGGCCACAGCGGCACCTCCCGTTCCCGTCTCACCTATGCCGGGCGCCACATAGACGAAGTAGAGCAGCGAGGACGAGAGCGAGAAGAAGAAGAGCGCGGCGATCAGCGAGCGGCGCGGCAGCCGCAGCAGCCCCCGGCGGACGCGCATGCTGCAGCCGGCGGCCGCCCGAGGGCCGGGCCGGGCCTGCTCCCGCCGCTTCCCGTCCGCCGCCTCCTCGGCCTCCGCCGCCGCCGCCGCCGCCTGGGCCTCGGCCACCACCTCCCGGGTCTCGCCGGCCGCCGCTCTCAGCCGCCTCGCCGCTCCCAGCCGCCGGCCGCCGCGGGCCGGGACACATGAAGGGAGCAGGGGCCGGAGCGGCCCGGAGGGAGCGCAGCGGCGGGGGCGGAGCGGGCGGCGGGGGCGGGGCGGGCGGAGCGGGGGCGGGGCGGGCGGCGGGGACGGGGCGGGGCCAGCGCCGCCGGCCCGGGAGCCCAAGACCCGCGCGCGCGCGCGATGACGCCCGGCCCGGCCGCTGACCCGCGGTCCGGGGAACCGCGCCAAATGGCGACAGCCCCTCTCCGGGCGCGGCCACCGCCCAGGCTTTCGGGGAGCGTTGCTCCAGTGCCCATTGGCCCCGCGCTTGGGCACCCGCAGCTCGGGAGCCCGAGGGGCCGTCTGCAAGGTCTGAAGCGGCTGGTCGCCAAGTGCGGCACAGGATCTGGGATTGTAGAGCCGGGAGCTCGCTAGACGCTTTCATTCATTCACCCATTCACTCATTCATTCAGTTCTCCATGTATGGAATGCCAGACATAAGCCAGGCGCCGTTCTTGATGCTGGGGAGGCTACAAAGAACAACACAGACAACATCAGTGTCTTCTTGGAACTTGCATTGAAAAAGAAACAGGTCGATTCATAATACCTGGTACTGATAAGTGATATGAACACAAGAAAACAGGAGGCAGGCCAGTGGGGTCAAGGAAGGCCGAACTGAGCAGGTGACATGAACTGAGACATAAAAGAGTGAATAACAGGTGCAGAGGCCTGAGGCTAAAAAGCCTGATCTGTCCCCAGGTTGACTCCAGTAAGACAGGGAGAGCGCAGGGATGAGGCTGGAGCTCTAAGCAGGGTCCACACCCCGTAAAATCATAAGGAGTGTCATGATAACAGTGATCAATGTAAAGACATGCTGAGAGATGCCTGGTTTTACTTATCTCATTACATCCCTCCAGCATCCCTAAGATATGCACTCATTATTCCCATTAGAGGCCTGGTGCATGAAATTTGTGCACAGTGCGGGGAGGGGGGGTCCCTCAGCCCCGCCTGCACCTCTCCAATCTGGGACCCCTTGAGGGATGTCTGACTGCCAGTTTAGGCCCAATGTGGGATCTGGCCTAAACCGGCAGTCGGACATCCCTCTCACAATCCGGGACTGCTGGCTCCTAACTGCTCGCCTGCCTGTCTGCCTGATCACCCCCTAACTGCTCCCCTGCTGGCCCGATCACCCCCAACTGCCCTCCCCTGCCGGCCATCTTGTGACAACGTCGCGGCGGCCATTTTGTGATGACGTCGTGTGACACCACCTAGGCTTTTATTATATAGGATGGTTAAAGGAGAAGAAGGAGAAAGAGAAGGAGATGATGAAGGAGGAGGAGAAGGAAAAGGAAACTCCTAGAGGGAGGAGCAATTCACCCAACCCTAAGGGCTCAAATCAAAATTGATGTGTTTCTTGGGGGGGATGAGGACACATTTGTAATACCTTAACTAATAAAGAATTTTAAAAAATAAAAATAAAAAAAATACAAAATTGACGTGTCTCCCCAGGCAGATCCTTGATCACTAGGTTGTAACTGCCTCAGCATTCCATTTGGCCCCTAATTCTCATTTTGTAGGCAAGTTGGTATCCTACTTGATAGGATAGTGTGAGACCATAGTCAAAACATCACTTTTCAATCAGCCCAGGCCAGAAGATCTCAAAGGTAGAGAAACTCACGGCCAGGGCCAGTAGAACCAGCCCCAGCTTCAAGAAACTGACAGCTGAATTGAGGAGGCAAGTGTTCCCTGTGTAGACACATCTGAACCTGGGGGGGACTGTCTTGGAACGCCAGAAGCAGTCAGGAGTAGAGAGGATTTTTCAGGTATTCTGTGAAAACTAACTATAGTCTGCATTAAATTCCTAAATTTGATTTATACTTTTCACAGTGTTTCTTTGATCCTTTAAGTGAGGGCTGTAGAACCAGACTGCCCAGGTTCTCTGACTCCCAGCTCTTCCATTCTTACCTGAATCACCTTAGGCAGGTAACTTAACTTCTCTGTGCCTCTCAGTAAAATGGGGGATGTTATTAGTAACAACTGCATCAGGTTGTTGTGAGGATTTGAGTAATATGTGCAAAGCTTGGCACACATACTAAATGCACATAGCTCTCACCAACTCCAACAACCCTGGGGGATGAGATGGGAGAGAACAGGCTTAAATAACGAAAAAGAAAAGCAGATGTGGGTTGACTCAGACTGATGTGGGCTCAAATCTTGGCTTGACCTCAACTGGCTGTATGACCTTGAGTAAATCACTAACCCCTCTGAGCTATTTGTTATCTGTGAAATGGTGTGGAATAAGCGAGAGAGCAGAGGCAAGGCCCTAGACCCGAAATAAGCTGACCTGAACCACTTTTTGTTTGGCCCACACATCGGCCTCTCCCCTACCATCTCTTCAGGAAACATTTTCAAACATACAGAAAGCTTTAAATAATAGTACAAGGAACACTCTCCATCTTGATTCAACAATCATTATCATTTTTCTAGTTTTATCTATCTGTATTTATATGTACAATTTCTTGCTGAGTTATTTAAAAGTAAGTTGCTGCCTTAATGGTATTTCATGTCTCAATACTCCAAAAATTCTAAGAAAAAATGCATTCTTCTAAATAAACACAATAATATCTTCATGCCAAAGAAAATGAACAATCATGTCATAATATCCTATAAAATATGGTTCATTCCCAAATTTCCCCATTTTTAAAAAGAATGTCTTTTATGGCTGTTTATTTTTCAACAGTATCAAATCAAAATTTACACATTGCACTTGGAATTATTTCTAATATTTGTTTATCTACAACAGTCCCTCTGTCTTTATTTTGTCATAATTTCCCCCCAACACTTTTTTTAAAACATTTTAAACCTATAGGGAAGTTGCAAGTATGCTACAATGAACACCCATCTAACCACCATGCAATGTTGCTTTGTTTAATTCAGCTAGAAATAGGTCAATTGGACTTCCATGTGGAAAAGAAAAGACTCTTCGCTGCTACCTCCCACTTTCCACAAAAGCAATCCAAGGTGCATTGTAACTCTAAATATGAATTATCAAATACAAAGGCTCTTAGACAAAAACATGGAATATCTTCATGCCCTGGGAGCAGGCGAAGACTTGTCAGAGGACACAAACACAAACCAAAAGGGAAAGATTTGACAGAATGGGCTATATTCAATTAAGAATTTCTCTTCATCAAAAGACACCCTTAAGGGGAAAAAAATGGGCAGCAAAGTAGGAGAAGAAATAGAAACATAGAGAGGGGTGAAAAAGAACTCATAGCCAAAATATTATAAAGAGCAACAATCCAATAAGGAAAAGAGAGGGGAGAGCAAGCAAAAGACACATGTGCATCTCATAAAAGAAGATATCCAAATGGCCAATAGCATATGAAAAGATGCTTACATCTTTTGAAAAATGCAAATAAAAACCACTCCTCAATACCATCTGTTGTCAGCTGGTTTTGAGAAAAAGGTGCGGCACTTGGGACCAGCCTTGAGGAAGTCCAACTTTGAATGGCAGGGGAGAGAGTGTGACTGCCAGGAAGGCTCAGGGGAAGGAGGCAAAGCCAGGAAGCTGTTGCTCTGGGAGCGGAGGGAAGAGATGCTTCTTGTAAATAAGCCAAAGGTGGCTCGCCACTGATCCCAGGAGCCCTCACTCTATCACTTGCACATCTGGGAAGTGACATCACTGGACTGACTTCTACAGCATGCTGGAAGGTGGAAAGGTCTCGGGAACTTGTGTACCTCTGACCATGCTGGGACAGAGAAAAAGATCTGGTCCCTTTGGTTGATATAAAATGGGCTCCAATTAGGAAGGGATGGTGAGGATCTAGCCAACTCAAAACAACCAATGTCCTCTACAGTTGGATTTCCTCACCATCGACCTCTCCCTTAGCCTAGGTGGGCAAGGAATTCCTCTGTTCCCCTAAGAAAAGAGATGGGCAGGCCTTCCCACATCTGGACTATCTACTGCTGACCAATCTCTCTCTACTCATGTCCCGTCTGAAATAACAAGGCATTGAAAAAGATAGTTGTTGTTGTTTTTAATGGAAGGAGGGCAAAAAGATGTAGGGGGTGAGTGTCCCTACCTCAAATTCTTCCTTCCACATTCCATTTCCAACTCACTCAAGCCTGTATTTATGCATTTGTTCATTTATTCATTTACTATTCAGTTCATTAGTCAAACAAGCTCGCTGCACTTTTACCTCTGCTCAAAAGTTATTTCTTCCATGAGACCTTTCCTCTAAAATATCTTCCTTCTTCCCATCCCAGAACACTCTATTCCCTTACCCAGTTTTTTTTTCAGAGCACTTTTCATCCTGACATTTATATTATATACTAGAGGCCCGGTGCACAAAATTCATGCATGGGGCGTGGGGGCGGGGGGAGGGGGTCCCTCAGCCTGCCCTGCACCCTCTTCAATCCGGGATCCCTTTGCAATCCAGGACTGCTGGTTCCTAACCACTTGCCTGTCTACCATCTTGATCACCGCCTAACTGCTCCTCTGCCGGCCTGATGGCCCCCAACTGCCCTCCTCTGATTGCCCCTAACTGCCTCTGCCTCGGCCCCCACCACCGTGGCTTTGTCCAGAAGAAGTCAGATGCTCAGAAGATGTCTGGTCTCCCTATCTAATTAGCACATTAACCTTTTATTAGTATAGATAAGATGTATGTTTCTTTGTTTGTTTTCTGTCTCCCGTATCAGAACATAAGCCCATGAGGTCAGGGATTTTGTTTCATTCTCTGCTGCATCTTTGCATCTTAGCACAGTGCCTGGCACCCAACAGGTGCTCAATAATTGTTGAAGGAATGCCAAAACAATATTAGGTGTGCACCGAGCATAGGCAGGGCATTGCGAATGCAGGGGTGGTTCTCGCAGCCAGTGACAGGATGAACAGGAAAGTGAGTAACTGGTACAGTGCCATGAGAGCATGACTCCTGTGGCAGGCAGTCAGGGAAGGTGTCCAGTGAGATTCTAGATGGTCTTTGAAGGGGAAGTGAAACAGGCTTGCTCAAGAACACTGAGAGGAGGCCGGCCTGGCTGGAGCAGCAGGTCCCTCCAAGGAAAAGGAAAAGGGG